TTCTCTTTTATTATGTGAATGCTTAACCTTATGCACGTGACTCAATAGGCTCCTAAATATGTTGATAATATATCAAGAATAAAAAACACATATTTTATCTCTTGATACATAAATCAAGATTGACCTCTATCAAGACATCATGACTACCTAATTCTCTAAAGTGATTAATTAATCTACAATTACCTTTCATAAGCATAGTTACCATACAAGCCAATTCTCATGTTAATTTATTACAATGTGATCTCAAACTTAGTTATTAGTCTATTCGATTATGATCACATAAGTTTTTTTTTTATTCCTAAATATCTTAACTCTTAAAGTAAACCAACTATACTTTATTAGTGTACTCCAGCTATAGCCATAGATTTCTTGAGTAGACATTTATCGAAGTGCAATGTGATAACTTTTTTAGCATACGAGGAATGACATGTCCTATCTTAGTCATCTACCTATCTCCATTGGATTCCTAGTGTATCCAAGAGTCATCCACATGCAACCCTTTACTAGGTCCATCGAAATAAGAGTCAAAGTACATAAATCCTCTAATAAGATATTCGTGATGACTTCAAGTCAAAGGATCAGTTGTACCCATCTCATATGATATTCCCATAGACTAAGCCGAAATGGTTCTTATGGTGAGTCAAGTTCGGTGATATATTTTCTAACATTAATCACCTAAGTGTTTGCTTTGGTATCACCATGTCAATAGGTGTGAGATCTCCTACCGTTATCTTATAACATAAGTATAGCACTCACAAGTTTAACCGTATATATTTAATGTTCATTCTTAACAATGCTACGACTTTGGATAATTAATGATATCATTTAAGTGCATTAATGTTTATATCATATCTTTCAATCAATCATTAATGGAATGAAATCATATGGACTTCTATCTAATTCTATTAATAAACGTAAACAATAAGAATTAATAGAAATACTTCTTTCATTAATAAAATATATAATGCAATATTATAATGAGTCAAACCTATCCAAACAAGGTTAGATCTTAAGCAACTACATTATCAATACATAGTTCATGACCATAATACATTTACATTAAATACAAGTGCATGCCAATTCGTTCGAAGATTTAAAGTCATAAAAAGGATTTTTTTTTCATGGTCTTTCCAAAGGTAATTGGAAAATATTTCATGGTTTACATGATTTTTCATGACTTTTCATGGTTCATGGATTTCATGGGTCGAGTGGATGTTGGCGTACATTTTTAGATACTTGACAAGTCCGAGCAAGTATAGACTTGTACTTTCAAATACTCGACATTGAGTAGGTACAAATGGGTACCTTTAAATGCTCGATAGTGGCCGGTTAGGTATAAACGTGTACTTTCGGATACTCGATTAGTCACATCTAAGCATGGAAATGATTTTTTAGAATGATCATAGCAAAGATTTCATGTCATCAAAAAGATTTCAAAAAAGACATGAAAATGATTTTTCATGTGCATTTCACGTGCATACATGTACGTCATGCATTATTAAATTTGCTTACTGAATTCTTGTGATGTAGAACAAAAGTTAAAGAATAATGGTGATATTCATTTACAAGTCGACTATTGAAGGATCTCTCTGTCGAGTATATCTTGCATACGGATGTTAGTTGGACCTATTTCACACTATAGTACTACTAGTGCTCGGTATTTTTGCTTGTGTACTAGATATGACATCACCGTATTATATAATAATTAAAGCTATGAAGGGATAAATAGTTAGTTAGAAATGAAGACATTAATGTAAATAAATAAACTATTTTTGTCGTAATGTGGCACTGAATGGGTTTATGTAAGATAAAGATAGCTTGTAAGTTAACCGAAATTTTGGACATATCAATAATGATAATGTAATACATAGCGAGTAAATAGTGTAGTTTTTTTTTTAATTCATAACTTTCATGCTATCATTAATAACAAAATATGGACACAAAATTTATAAGGCAATAACCATAATAAATGGAAATTAATGAACCTAAAAGCGATTAATTATCAAATAATAGGTAATAACTAAATACATTTTTATAGGCTTATAGAAAAGAAATTTGACAAACCCGAGTGTCATGAATCCAATCGGTTTAGTCCAAACTAGTAAAATGTAATGTCAATGTAGGTCGATCCGGGTAGGTTAATTGTGTGGGAATAGGTGAGGGGCAATAGGACTTTAAATAAAGAGAGTCCGGTGGGCAATAGGAATGTCAATAAAGTGAGTGAGCTAACACATGATTTAGAGGTTGATGATGAGGCATATGATTATGCAGAATATTGGGTAGGTGTCAAATGATGAAGAAGCTAGAGAACTTAGAAAATGTTTAAAAAAGATACAAGCAATGTCGACTTGTAAAAGTAAGGTCATTACTGGAGGGAAAATTAGTAAAAAAATTGGAGGGAAAATTAGATGGAAATATGGGCAAAAACTTAGAGAGAAATGTGGAGGAAAACTTAGGGAGAAATATGGAGGGAAACTTACGGGGAAATATGAAAGAAAATTTAGAAGGAAATGTGAAGGGAAATGAGGAAAGAAGGACATTAATAGAAGAGTTGGAAAAACTAGAAAAAGAATTGAATAAGGAGTAATGTAATTCGGATGAAGGGGAGGATTGTTACTATAACAACGGTAATAAAGAGTTAAGCATGAGAAAGAGAAGCGGACTAATCGGGTTTCACCTAGCTTGAGATCCTCCTCATTTCTAGTTTCGTATGATTTTTAAGAATAAGAAGGAAATTAGAGCTGCTTGTGATTAAGTGTGCCATCGGTAGTAGGAAAGATTTGAAGTTGATTAGGAATGACAAATATAGGTATAGAGTTGTTTACAAAAAATGACCCTTGTCCTTAGAAGCTGCTAGTTTTTATTGATGAGAGGACTAAAAAATAGATGGTGAAGACTTATGATGTGCAACACACATGTGATAATCATTCATAAATTTCAAGGTTACTTATAAATTTATTGTTGACTATTAATAAAGAAGTTTGGAAGAACTACACTGAATAAAAAGCTACATGAGATTATAAAAGACAGTATGTCGGATATGAAAGTATAGATTATGTTGTCATAATTCAAACATGTAAAGGATTTGATATAGTTGATTTATTCTAGAGATATGAAGAATAAGTTTAAAAGGTTTGAAGATTATGCAGTTGAGTTAAGAAGATGTAATGATAACAATACTACCATTCTTGAAACAGAAGAGGATGGGGAGGGTTTAAACAAGTATAAAAGAATATATGTGTGTTTTCATGTTGTGAAATAAGGCCTTAAAACAGAGTGCAAACCAATTATAGGGTTACATAGTGTCTTCTTAAAGGGTCCATTGAAAGGGGAAGTGTTGTCAATTATTGACAAAAATGCAAAACAATCAAATGTATCATTTGTGTTGGACTTTTGTGAAGTGGGAAAATAAAGATAACTGGATCTCGGTTCATTCAATTTTTGATTAAAGATGTAGGGATTCCATATGAAAATGGATATTAATGGATTTTCATAACAAATAGGTGGAAAGGTTAGTAACTATGCATTTTTCATTGGTATTTCTTTAATTTCAATTAGTCTTCATCCAATTTTTTATGAAAGATGTAGGGATTCCATATGAAAATGGATACTAATGGATTTTCATAACAAATAGGCAAAAACGTTAGTAAATATGCATTATTCATTAGTATTTCTTTAATTTCAGTTAATCTTCATAATCTAATTAATTGTTATGTGTACAAAAATTATGTGTCTGCTCTAAAAGAATTAGTACCTAGAGCAGAACATAGGTGGTGTGCTAAACATATTTTTGATAAACGAAAGAAGACACATAATGGTGAAGATATTGAGAAGTATTTTTGGGTATGTGCCAAATTAAGTACGATACTAGATTTAGAAAAAAAATCTTTAGCAATTGGGGAACTATAGTAAGGCAGACACTAGAAGATTTCATAAAAGAATGTCCATAAAAATGTTGTAAGGCTTACTTTAAAACACATTTTAAATTTGATGTTGACAATAACTTGTGTGAAACATGGAATAAATTTATTTTACAAGTATGATATAAAAGTATTGTGTCTTTGTTGGAGGAGATTAGGATTCTTATTGTGAAAAGAATTATTACCAAGAGATTGTTTGTATGTATGTGTAAGGAGAATTTTGGGCCTATGATCCGGGAAAAGATAGAAGAATTTAGATTTAAGTTCAAAGGTTAAAGTATTGCATGATTGTGTTGATGGGTATGAGGTCATAAACATATACAATTTTAATGATAAATATATAATGGATATGAAGAGGAAAACGTGCATATGTAGGTTATTTGAGATGAATGGTATACCATGTCCATATGCTATGGTTGTTTATATAGCTAGGAAGTGGAATTTTGATAATTATCTTATCCATTGTTATTCCAAGAACATTTTCTTATTTGCATACCAAAAGTCAATTGAGCCAACAAATGATAAAAAATATTGGCCTAAGAAATCAAAAGCGGAGGCACTTCCTCCAAAGATAGTGAAACAACCTGGAAGGAAAAAGAATAAGAGATGTTTAAAATCATGGAAATCATCTAGTGGAACTAAAATGTCAAGAAGATGAAGGAAGATGACTTGTAAAATTTGTTTCAAGAAAGGACGCAATGGGTCTACATGTCCCGAGAATCCCAAGAATAAGAGGTTAATATTTTTTAATTATAAAACCTATTTGTGTTTGTGTATTTATATTTATATTTTTGTTTACATTTATCACTCTCATGTGAAGGTTGATAATGGTGGTATTAGACCTACTGATCTAGTTATTGTTGAGATTGAACAAGGTTGAATTCAACCTATTTCGGACTTTGGTTATGTTATGATAGAAACTGCATCACAATTGGTCAAGTAAAAAGAATTATTTTTACTTATTTTTGTAGTCTTTTTTCTTCAATTTAATCATGGTACATTGTTTATATTTGTTTGCTTGTTAGATATTAGAGGAAGGGAAAATAGAAGGTTTGCTTTGCTTTATTTGACAAAAGGAAAATGAATAAGGATATGTATGTGAGCAAAAAGGACAAAGAGAAGGTTGTTGGACCTATTTCTAGAATTGCTTTTGTTATGGTGGAACCTGTCACCATTGGTCAAGTATAAATAATTATTTTTTAAAATTTTTATAACCTTTTTGCTTCAATTTAATTCAAAGCATTGTTTATATTTATTTGTTTATTTGGCATTAGAGGAAAGAAAAGCATAAGGTTGGAGGTGTTTCCTTTAACAAAAGGAAAAGAAATGATATGTCCGAGTAACAAAGGCAAGGAAAAAGAGAAGGTTGATGAACTTGTTTCTTGAATTGGTTCTATTATGGTTGAATATATCACTATTGGTCGGTATAAATGACAATTTTTTTTTATTTTGAATTGGAAATCAAGTTAGTTATGGAATTGGTAGAACTCGTCACCAATTGTTTGTCATTTAGAATTGTTTATTTAGTTTTAAGGAAATGGAAAATAGAAGATTAAAGCCGTATCTACAAAAAGGAAAATATGATGAGGGACTTATGAATAACAAGGGCAAGCAAAAGAGAAGAAGAATGGACAAAGTCAAAAGAAGGAAAAGAATGATGCCGATGGAACTCGGTAGAATAGCAAGGAGAAGGTTGCTAGAAGTTTTGAAAAAAGGAGGATGTTGACTAGATCAAACTCCCGAAGCCGGGAGGGTCACAAGAGTAAGTATTGGAAAAAAAATTGTTTAGGATACCATTCGAGATTTTTACATAACAACAAACTTTAGATGTTATTTGCTTATTACGTAGCTTGTTAATGTTGAATATTAGCTTAGCGTTATTTGTTGCTAAAGAACATATAATATGTCATGAGTTGATAAAGAATGTTTAACGAGATAAGAACATGTAATTTTTTAGCTTATAATATTCCGAATACAATCCGCACATTTGGATAGTTTATGTGAAACAACAATTACTTCACTTGATTAAACTCGTATATTTTAAAAGTTTGTCAAAAGAACCTGGAATGAAAACATGCCTATTTTGCATATGTAAAAAGTAATTGCTCACTTATCAATTACCCGACCATTGACACCACTTACAAAATGCACATTTTTTACACATAACATTGCAAATTATAGTTCCATAATACAATCACAAGATAATAAATTATTGTCCATTCCTTATAATCAAACCCAAAATATTACAATCATAATGACAATCATTGTACAAAATAGCTTGAGAACACTACCAATTCTAGATTTAAACAATATTAAATCAGTATAATTTAACTTTAAATCTTCAATCTCTAGTAGTAGAACCTCTTACTCCTTTTGTTTTTGCTCATTGTAAGCATAGTTCTCCATTCTCACAATCTCTAATTCAATCAATAATTCTTCATTCTCACTTCTTAACATAGTAATTTCTTTTCAATTTGACATTCTCTAAAATCAATCTTGAGTTCTCAACATGTATTTCTTATTGGCAATTTCATAAACCCAAAATGATATCTTTAGCTCTGCTATCTAACTCATCTTGGAACCACACTTTAAAATCGCACCCAACTTCTTTTCTACCTTTAGCTTTGAATCGAAATGAACAAACATAAAACTTTACACCTAGATGATCATTACTCTAAGACACTATCTTACTTATTTTCATGCCATAGTAATACGAAATTGCAAGTTCTTTCTCATCCTAGCGTAATTCTTCATCATTGAGAGCATAAATCGATGAACCTTTGGAAGAGGAAGAGGATGTTGATAATGAAGTTATTCTTTCTTGAACCGTGATTTGGGAATTAAGGATTAGAAAATGCAACAGAAGAGAAAGAGAGAGGAGAGGTTAAGGGGAAATGAGGATTCCGGTTTATAATTAGAAAATTAAGGATTGGGAATGAGGGTTTGAAATTTGAGAATTGGGGATTGTCACTTTTGATTACAAATCGAAGAAAGTGGAAAGAGAAAAAAGCTGAAATGAATAGGAGAGAGAAGAAGATTTTTAGTTTTAGTGGATAAGGATTGAATTGTATTTTCCTAACATATTTTTAGGTTTATTATTTGTTTAGTTTTTTAAAATTCATCGAAATTTTTTTATTTTCGTCAAAAACCCAATTTAAACCCATAATGACATGTGGCAAGTCGTCAATGGCTAGAGCTTGCTTTGTATGCTTACATGACACATTAGGGTTTGAAACAACAACAAAAAAGAGTAGAACTAGTAAATTAGATAGGAAAAAAAATTAAGATCTTAATTAAAAAAATTCAAACTCGTATGGGGTCTCCATATGCATAAAACCCTAATAAGATAGTAGTAGTTATTTTGATATATGTTAAAAGTTGGTTGATTATATGTATATACACACACATTGTGTTTCAATTCTAAATTTTCACTTCTTATATTATATATATAAAAATATATATATATATAGAATTAGATGCTTCAGTAGATTACTATATGGACTATTTTTTTTTTTTTTGTCAATTTGCGGTAACAAAATCAATAATTAATTGTTACATTCATATAGTATTTTGATATTTAATAATATAAAAACATGTATATTTTTTAATATATGAAAGGAAATTTTTTGAAAAATTTAACACAAGATATGCTAATAGTATAAACTTATTAGAAAAACCTAACATTTAGGTCACAAAAGTATATATATAATTCAAGATCTTAAAAATGATCAACTTAGCTTCCAAAATTCTAATCATAATGCTAAATGATTCAATATTTGCATCATTAAAGCTGTCCCTCAGCAATGCAAGAGCCATGTACTAATTATGATATAAACGAAAGAAACATAAATAAAATAAATATTAATAATTGATTTCAGAAAAAAAAATTGTTTTGCCTTAAGTTTAAAGCAGAGATACCAAAAACAAAGCAATGTTCTTTTTAAAGTTAGTTTTCTTTTAATGTGTCATATTTTTTCATTTCAAACAAAATAAACTTTAACCAAAATAGTATTTTTAGATAAAAAGTAGATAAAAGCAGATGTGCCATCTAGGTGGAATAAGGTTTTTTTTTTTTTTTTTTTTTTTTTTCTTATCAAGTGATCTAAGATTTGATTTGGTATCATCGTTTAAAGAAATTGTTTTAGAAAATACATAAACTAAACCATAAAATATAATATTAGATCTATCGAATTGATTATTTTTTGTAAATCATACATGAAAAAAACAAAAACAAAATCCACAATTGGCATCCCGCCCCCCCCCCCCCCCCAAAGAAAAAAAAAGAGAGATTAAATTATAAATATCATCCCTATGTTTATGTTTATTGGAATATATATTAGGATTTCGTTAGTTTTATTTTTTAATACATTATGTTTTAATTCTAATTTTTGAATTCATAGATTAAAAAAAATTAAATGGTTATAAATAATTGATTTAGGCTATACACATACAAACATATATAGTAGAAATATATGTTTTTTTCCCAATTTTCTGATAACAAAATCAATAATTAATTGTCAAATTCATACAACTTAATATTAAGGATACAAAGGCATGTGTATTTTTTAAAATTTTGTATGTTTCAATATATGGAAAAAAGATTAAGCAATGACTTTTGAAGAGCAGGAACCAAAAATAAACGTAATACAACAAATATTAATTATATAAAAATATTTCAAAACCTAACATTTAAGTTATGAAAATATATGTATTATCAACTTAGCTATCAATATTTAATATTCTAATTGTGATTAAAAAATAATTCAATATATACATCATTGAAGCTAGAACTCTACCAACACAGGAGCTATCTACTGGTCATGATATAAGATGAAAGGAGCATTAGTAAAAAAGTATTAATAATTGACTCCACGATAAATTTGTTTTGCTTTGGGTTACAAATAATAATAATAATAATAATAATAATTTTGCTTTACGTTGAAAGCAGAGATACCAATCAAATAATGTTCTTATTTATTTATTTTTTTCAATAATAAAAGTATTTTCAGACTAGTTTTCATGTACCTCAAGAATAATCTCTTCTTGGATATAGTTAAGAGACATTCTCTAACGTATAGTCTCGAGTATTTTAAGAATAAATTTTCAAAAATGTTAGCCATAAGAATCGAATCTTGGACCCGACCTATAAGTCGACACTTGCCTAGTAATAAATTATCATTTTGTGGTTAATAATATATATTTTTTTTAAATAAACATTTTATTTTAAAGTGCTATATGCTTTGATTTCAAATAAAACAAACTTTAAAGAAATAATGATTTTACATAAAAAGTAAACAAAAGTAATTGTATCATTTGGATTGAATAATTTTTTTTCTTATGAAGTGATTTAAGATTTGATTTGATTTAGAAAATACCCAAACTAAATGATAAAATGTAGTATTAGAACTATGAAATTGATTGTTTTAGTAAATCATCCACAATTGACCAAAAAAATAAAATAAATAAATTACAAATATTATCCATTCTGTGTCTGTTGTGATTTTTTCATGGTATATATTTTTGCATAACATGGCATTGTTCGGCATTTTATTTTACATATAAAGTAACATCAGGAACTCAAATTACAACAAAATAAAAGGAAAGTTACTCAAATTACAGCCATAGTTTTAAATTTTACATTTATTAATTTGTTGTAAAAAAAAAAGGGAAAAACAATTTGTTAACTTCTCCAAGGGACAACAGACCCAGCGGCTAATGAGACTAGTCACTATGTTTTCTCTCGAGGTTGTGTTTGTTTGAGGAAAAACAAGTTTTATAGAAAAATCAGTTCCCGAGGAAGCTATTTTTTTGAAAATTATTTTCCAACATCATATTTTTTGCTGTTTGGCAATTATATGAAAAAACAGCTGAAAAATATATTCCAACGTTTGTTTGATACGGAAAATTAAAATACAAAAATTTATATGATTGTTATATCAATAAGTTTTGAGAAAAGTTTAAAAAGACATATTTATAATTTCATAATGTAAGATACATTTAGAAAAATTTAATAAATTTTCATCAATACTAACTCTAAAATTTCAATTCAAAAAATAAAATGTACTTTTTTAACAATCAAACCAAATCATCAAAATTATTTGGGACAAAATTAAATCAATATTCATATTTAGTAAAAAAAGATTCTAAGTAATCCTAGCATTATAGATAATTATTTATTTGATCTCAAAAGATTAATGTTGAAATAATTTGTAACTAATTATTTATTACAATTACCAACAAAATTTTACAATTGATTAAAATTACAAATTATTGATTTAATTGCAAATGAATAATGTTGAAAAAAATAATATATTTATTAATGAATTAATTAAAATTTTTTTTACAAAAAATTATAGTCTTATAATAATTATTTTCAATCATTTAACTATCGCTTAAGTAATGTTTGAGAAAATAGTAAAAAAAAGAAGAGATAAGTTATTGAAATATTTATTATAAAAATAATTTTAAGGTGTAAAGATAATTTTTAAAAATATTTAATGTATATGTAAATAAAAAAAATCAAATATTAATAAAGATAGAGAAGAAATAATTAAATAATTGATAATAAATAATTAAAAATTAATATAATATATTTTAAATAAAAAGAAGATAGAGAAAAAATTATTAAAATATATCGAGAGAGAGTTAAGTAACAAGAAAGCAAGACAGCTCATAAGAAGAAAAATATTTTCTTTTTTTGAAACTAAAAAAATATTTTTCTAAAATTACTCTATTATTTTTCATTGATTAAAAATTAATTTTTATTATTTTTTTAAATATAAAATAAATACTGAAAAATAAAAATTTATTTTTCTCCGAACAAACACAAACACAGCCCAAGTGGCAAAGTCTTATTTCTCTTCCCCAACTTTTTAAAAGAGAAGCTTCACAGTCTGTTCACTCACCCCATCTCACTCACAAAAAAAAAAAAAAAAAAAAAAAAAAAAAAAAAAACATGGCACTCTGGAGCTCTTCCACCACAATCTCACTCTCCAAAAACCCTAATTCCTCCACCACCTATCCCAAACCTTCCCTCTTTTTCCTCTCTCTTGTCTCTCTCAAACTCTCCTCCTTCAAACCCCTCACCTCTCGCGCCCCACCTCACCAACCTCTCTCCATCCCACGCGCCGCCTCCACCACCCCCTCCACTACCCCCGCCACCTCCTTCCACGGCCACTGCTATGTCGTCGGCGACAACATTGACACCGACCAAATCATCCCCGCCGAGTATCTCACCCTTGTTCCTTCGAATCCCAACGAATACGAAAAACTCGGATCTTATGCTTTAGTCGGACTTCCGGCCACTTATAAAACCCGATTCATCGAACCGAATCAAACGAAAACGAAATACGCGATCGTGATAGGAGGTGATAATTTTGGGTGCGGGTCTTCGCGTGAACACGCGCCTGTTGCGCTCGGAGCAGCGGGGGTAGTGGCGGTTGTCGCGGATTCTTATGCGAGGATATTCTTTAGGAATTCAGTTGCGACGGGAGAGATTTATCCGCTCGAATCTGAAGTTAGGATTTGTGAAGAGTGTAAGACTGGTGATTTGGTTTCGATTGAACTTGCGGAAAGCAAGTTGATTAATCATACAAGTGGGAAGGAGTACAAACTGAAGCCTATTGGTGATGCCGGCCCTGTTATTGAAGCTGGTGGCATTTTCGCTTACGCGAGGAAGACAGGAATGATTCCTTCGAGAACAGCATGATATTAAGGTACGAATATGAAGTTTTTGAATATGAATATGTTTTTTATTTTCTATTTGTTTGAATCCAAATGCTTCAATTTTTTCTCCGCAGAATAAGAGAATTTGATGGTAATGAGTTGTAAGAAGGAAAATATCGGAAGTATCCATTACTTGAAATTGCTAAATTGTCTTCCGAGTTTAGGTTGTATATTTTACTTTAATATATTTATGCTTCTAACTTAACCTTGATAGGTACAATGTAGATAGTACGGAAGAGTATTGCTAATTTTTTACCAAAAACCTTTCACGAAACCACCTCCTTAATGATCACAGCCATTCGACCAAACATTGGAATCTTTCGAGAATGATATTTCCGTATTCATTACAGAATTCAAGTGGTGGTTGGTAAATAAGCACCCGGATTATTGACTGGTTTCAACATTTTATCGATATATGCTGCTGCTTAAGCTAGGATACACCCATATGTGCCTGGTGCTTTTATAGGCTAGTGAATGTTATTTTATTTTATTTTTTTATTGTTTTTGTATTGAATTGAGTTCCTCCGTTTATTTCTTGATACGCCTTTTTTTTTTTTTTTTCCTGTTTGCAGGGTTTTGTATTGTACTATTGAGAATTTTGTGACTAGTGATAGAGTAGAGGCAGACTTTGCTTTCTGATTCTCCTGATCGGCTTTCTTATAGCAGGTCCTGTACTAGAACTAAAATAATTTCCTTGCTCTACCTGCGTATTTAAGTGCTCATGCGGTCTTTAATGTTGAGCATTTTGTTGGAAATAATTGAATGATTGATGTCATGAGTGAATGATTCGAGAGCAAACACATGCTGTCGTTCTTTTTGTGATTTAAGGTTGTTGAAATTACATGGGTACTCAAACTCGGTTTTGAATGTGTGATTTCCAAGTTGTGTTTCAGGGGCAATGTCAGAACAATGTAGTTTCTATTTGCTATCAATTGAGATTGTAGTTGGTGTCCTTCAAGGAGTGGAACTTAAAACCCCTGTTCTACACGTTTTATAGTTGATGTTGCTATCAGGAGCCAGAAGAGACGTGCCAAATATTAGACTATTATTTCTGTCATTGGTTGAATGCAGTTATCAAGTAAGTAAATGTATTAGAGTTTGCATAGCTGACAACCGACAGTAAGCATCTTGCTCAGTATGGAACTTGAATCTTAAGACTTGCAATTAAAGATGTTATCTTTGCTTGTACGCCTGTTAAGATATGCATTTTGTGATGTAATCTTAGCTCGTTTTGTATGTTCGGGGCTTTCCCTTCATAGAAGGTTAGCTTGCAAATGACAAAGCTCTCATAGCAGGCGTTATCCTAGCTCTTGCTTGTTCTTCTTCAGCCATGCTACTTGTGCGTCATGTGGAGAACCTGCTAAGAATTTGCCACATTTTACAGAAATTTCAAGGTCTCAACTTTCATGTTGGCATAAAAGAATAGCCACCAAAATGTCTAGAGCTCTAGGTTATCTCTTGGCCTTAATTTGATTCTAGGCCGAGTTTGCTTGCCTAATCTTTAATTGAAGATGGACGGGCCTGCTCTCGCCTATGGCCTTGTATTAGCAGAAATGACCTTGCTCATTAAGCAGCTAGAAACTTGACGACCCGGCATGGCCCAAGTTCTATGCTGCTTGAGGATTCAATCCTAACGACTTTAATTGGGTCGCATTACTCACACTGCCAGGTGCAAGGGTTCCATTGCTCAAGACGTAAGCGGCACACAACAACGTAGTTTCCCTTTTTTTTTTTTTTTTCAGCAGTCAGTTCGAAGATAAACTTTTTTAGTTCAAAAATAAATGGGTAGCCCGGAGTTGCTGAATGTTATAGACGGGAACTATGATACTCTAATTAGCTGATAAATTTTAAAATACTTAAGGGATTTATTTTAAAGAGAAATAAACAAAGAAAAGAGAAAAAATTACATTGGGATTCATCTATTATATATTTTAGTTCTCTCTTTTATTTTTCTATTTTCTTTGTATTTATTTATTGTTTATGGAGTAAGTATTGATGGTTATCTTGGTGTAAGATATAATTTATCTTGGTGTAAGATAAAATTTCTCTTGGTAGTTAAACCAATCTAAGAGAGGCCATGCGGCACTGGTTCCTTGAGTCGAGCTTTGTTCTGCCTTGGGCTTTCATTTGAGCAACTAAACAACTAGCTTAGATACACATGCAAGGAAATTTTTGTGTGAATCGGATTTTTATGCAGAGAGAACTCAGTTTAGTATCACCTTGGTTAATTATGAATGAGGCAGTTCTTGAAGATATATAATGGCTGAAGGTTATAATTCTGCCCCCACATTTCATGCTTTACAAGTTAAAGTCTTAAGGTAGACTGTAAACCAAGAAAAGCTTTTATGATCATGAATTATAGGATTCCCCTGGCTCACAAGAGTCTCAAGGTACACTACTGTGCTGTGGAATGCCCTAGATATGAAAATTTCACCTCAAGTTATGGGTCAAACTACATATAAAAATAGGGAATCTACTGCACAAAAAAACGCAATATATTAAATGGCATCAATGGGTGAAACCATGTGAGCAATTAATAGTCTTACATATTAAACCATGTGAGCAATTAATAGTCTTACATATTTGTGTATTTACGTAAATAAGTTTCCATTCTGCATCAGTTAACATATGAATTGGCTGTCAGGAAACGGGCACTGATTTTCTCTCATGTCACGAGAGAGAGAGAACCTATCCTTGTTAAAATGGAAAGGGCGATGGTTTGAAGTTTCCGAAGAAAGCCAGCTAAGAGTAACGTGGGCACCATGTCTTGTATAATTAACTCCTACTTGTGTGTTTGTATCCTCTCCTGCATAACTAGTTCCAACAAATCGCTTTTTTGAGATCCCAACATTTTGAAGAATAATTTTTAACATATAACAACATCCAGGACATGCATTCCTTTGGATCAAATTCGTAAAATCTGAGCAAGACATCGACATAGTCAAAAGTTAGAAGTTTCATGTCATTAGTTCAACAAGTCTCTAGGAATAGTCATATCTTGGCAAGGAGGGAGAATGGGTGCTTGATTGCTCTTAAATCGTGAGAGTGATACAGATGAGAGATACTAGCCCTTTCACAATTTTCGTAGTTATTGATATGAGCCCACTACACGAATGCATCATGAAGCGTAAAATTGAGGCCTCCCTTCCCAAGGCTGCTGTGCATATTCTTTAGTGCATTGCTTTAATCCGTTAAGGAGGTTTCAAGATGTAAAAGTAGTCATAATTTTTTGGTTCCGTCCCCACTTGCAAACCGGGTTTTGAATCAATAACGGCTACTTGCAACGGTCATTTGATCAGACTCTCCGGAAAAAAAAAAAAAAAAAACACTTAATAATATTTGATGAATCAAAATCATTTACCACTTCCTACGATCTCTACTGTTTTCACTGGCTTCTCGTAGCCAGCACTTGAAGTAATAGTGGCACTATTAATTTTGATTAAACATAGGCAACTTGGAGAGGGAGAAGTAGAATATGCGAATAATGAATTATTGATCATATGTTTATTCATGAGAAAACAAAATAATAATTTCTTTTATGTAATACTCAAATTATTGATGTTTTAGAGATCACTTTTTCATTAAATAAATACATATTGTATTTAGAGATTACAATAGGAGGTTGCTATTAAGATATATGTTAGACATAATGACAATGAATATACGTCATTCCATCTAAGACTTATGTTATACATAATGACAGCGATCGATCTTAAAGTCAAAAATTGAATAACTCTTAATTGATTATTTTTTCTATTATCTAAATAAAAATTATTATTATTATTAACAAAAAGCTCAATAATAGTTATTGAACATGGACAATCCGCTTTCATTACATAAGAATAATCAATTACGAATTTACAACCACTAACTATTGGGTTAACAGTGGTCGTGTGAAAAAAAAAAAAAACAAAATAGAGGGAATGTTTAAAGTTCTGAAATTCGTGGTCGTGGATAACAGGTTAACAAGAAGAAAAGAAAAGAATCTGAACAAACAGTGACAAGTGAGGTCAGCACCCAATTCAAATTTTCAGATAAAAACAAAAAGCGCCATTCCCCAAAAGGGCAATAATGGTAAAAGAATAAATGCCAAAAATCACAACACTCCGTTCAAACTTCTCATCCTTCCTTCCTTCCTTCCTTTCAACCTCTTTCAAATACGTCAATCCCGTTACCAGAAAGTCCACTCCGACTGACAAACAACTCAGTCTCAGTCTCAGTCTCAGTCTCAGTCTCAGTCTCAGTCTCCGTCACAGACGTACTAAAACCCTTACGGGAACTATCTTCTTCACAAAATGTAAACGACAGCATCACCATCTCACTGATTGCTATTGAGAAACACAAGCACCACCCTCCACAAACCACCAAGGAAACGATGTCGTTTTCAACAGAGAAACCATCGAAGAAGAAGAGAGCGCCAAGGTGGTCAGACTTATGGCTCAAAAACACAAAACCCTTAAAACATGTTGTCTTTGCTATGCAGCTCCAGTCTCTCTCTAACCCAACAACGCCAACGCCAACGCCAACGCCAACTCCAACACCGACACCAACACCGAAGCAGCAACCTCAACAAGCAGACCCCAGTATCAAACTCAAAGACAAAATAGGAACCCTCATCGCCAATCTCCCCAACATTGACCGTACACTTCTCTTAGGTGATGAACTCCTCTTAAAAATCCTCTCTAAATTGCCTGATTCTCAAAGAAACCCTAATTCACTTGTTTGTAAACGCTGGCTTAATCTCCAAGGCCGTCTTGTTAGGTCTTTAAAGGTTTTAGATTGGGAGTTTCTTGAATCTGGCCGTTTACTTTCAAGATTCCCAAATTTGACCCATGTGGATTTGCTTAATGGGTGTGTTGTTAGACCCCTTGATTGCTGCGTTTGGTTGAGTCACAGGGTTTTTAAGATGGAAATAAATTCTGAGGTTTCTGGTTTTTTACCGGATTGGCATGTTTATGAAGAGAATTTGTTGCCTGTTGAGGTTGTTGATAGAGGGCTTAGAGGGTTAGCTTCAGGTTGTCCGAATTTGAGGAAGCTTGTAGTGGTTGGTGCTAGTGAGTTAGGGTTGTTAAGTGTAGCTGAAGAGTGTTTGACATTGCAAGAATTGGAGTTACATAAGTGTAATGATAATGTGTTGCGTGGGATTGCGGCGTGTGTGAATTTGCAAATCCTGAAACTTGTTGGAAATGTGGATGGATTTTATGGTTCTTTGGTTTCGGATATTGGGTTAACGATTTTAGCTCAAGGGTGTAAGAGGTTAGTGAAGCTTGAGTTAAGTGGGTGTGAGGGTAGTTTTGATGGGATTAAGGCCATTGGACAGTGTTGTCAGATGCTTGAGGAATTGACTATTTGTGACCATAGGATGGATGGTGGGTGGTTGGCTGGGCTTTCGTACTGTGAGAATTTGAAGACTTTGAGGTTTTTGTCGTGTAAGAGGATTGATCCCAGTCCAGGGCCGGATGAGTATTTGGGTTGTTGTCCAGCTCTTGAGAGGTTGCATTTGCAGAAGTGTCAATTGAGAGATAAGAAAAGCCTTACAGCCATGTTTAAGGTGTGTGAAGCTGTTAGGGAGGTTGTTTTTCAGGATTCTTGGGGATTGGATAATGATCTGTTTAGCCTGGCAAGTATCTGCAGGTAATGAGTTGTTTTACATTTTTTAACCACTTTTGATGCCTGGTAATGGTTTTACAGTTTATCGCAGTCCTTCAGGGGGATAATATACGTTCTTGAATTATTGCAGATGCACTTCTTCTATACATCCATTAAAGCTTGTATATGCATTTTTAGCCATTCCAATAATTTGCGTAGTTGATATGTTCTGAATCATGTAGTTGAAATTGATAGTGAATCATTTGTATATAACTGCCTGGCTGGAATGTGCCACGCTCGGACACTTACTGTTAGATGCATCTGAATGCTAGATTCTCCAGAACACTTATGACCGCACCACAATTGTAAAAGAAATTGATGCAATCCTAATAATTTCTTAGTTTAACCAGACACAAGAAAAATCTCAGTGCCAATTGGGCAAAAGACAAAAATAGTGAAAAATAATTCAAAAGACAAAAATAGTGAAAAATAATTCATTGGTTTAACTAGACAAGAAAAGAAAGCCTATGATTTTACAGGGAACATTATTTGATAGTTGATTGACTAGCATTTTGACAATTACTTCGATTGAATAATCTACGTGGCAAATTCCTATAATTGGAAAGACTATGCTATAGCCAGTTGATGTTGATGGGCAAGCAGTTCATTGCTTACATGGAAGTTTACATGTTTGGGATATAAATGGTTGCATGTACTTCATTACTTTACAGGAGGGTAAAGTTATTATCTCTGGAAGGATGCTCCTTGTTGACAACAGAAGGCCTGGAATCAGTACTTCTTACCTGGAATGAACTTGAACATCTTAGAATAGAGTCATGCAAGAACATAAAGGACAGCGAAGTCTCTCCAGCTCTTTCAATCTTGTTCTCTGCTCTTAAAGAGTTGAGATGGAGGCCAGATACCAGATCTCTTCTTGCATCAAGTCTCGTGGGGACTGGCATGAGAAAGAAAGGAGGCAAATTTTTCAAGAAGAATCTACGCCTGGATCATTATACACAGATGATTCACACAGCTACTTTTTGAAGGTTCCTGATTTTGTTTTGAAATGCTGTATAATCTTGTAATCATCCTACGTTCATGTAGCCAGTGAACATGATATCGAGAGAGGTTATTTTATGCCACTGTCTTTGCATAGAAATTCAAGTGGATCAATTCAAGCATGCAGAAGGCTTGTGGTCAATATAACGAAATACCTAGTTGTAAAAGGCAGGAGTGTACTTTTAAAATGTTATATTTGCCAACCATTCTGTAATGAGAACTAGATAGCAATGGAAAGTAATCTTATGGCAGCTATGTCATTGCTTGTGGTCAGGTTGTCATCTGAGTGTTGAATACAACAATGAACTGACATATATGGCGGCTTATTTATCGGTTCAGATCGTTGATTTCTAGCATGGAAAGTAAGCTAATTATTGCTAACGTAATCAAGCAGTAGGAGTAGCTTCGTCGACTTTTCGAGACTCTTAAGGGAGGTACAGAGATTTGAAATCTTTTGTTATAGCTGGGCTTGGTAATTCAAAATAAGGATTGAATATTGATCCAAGCCCACCATCTGATTAAGGGTATTTGAGATTCCTCGCACCCTTTGATGAAGAGTAGTTTGCCACACTTTTTGAAAAATATTCTCAAATTATCAAGTTATTAATTCAATTACAGATTTTTTTTTATTTTTTAAGCATAACAGTATCCTTAAATTTTAAGGAATAAAAGTTTGTAATTGGTGTTTCTCGTTTTAATTTTTTGTATGGAGAAATTTTATTATATTGAAGGAGTAACTAGTACATGTATATTAATTATTCAATGAACTTACTTTTGAGGAGAGATATAAAAATACACACACACATGTATATATAAAGAGAGAATCATATCTAAACCCATCAAAAGTGATAAAAAAGATTTCTACTTTAGTTCAAATTTCTTTTAATTTTTTTTTCTTATTTCTCTATCTTATTTGTGTCTATCTCTGTTTTTAAAGTAATTTACATTAGTTATTTCATGAATATTATAAAATTTCTCATCTGTCGTAACTTTTTTCTTTCCCCCTCTTTTTGTACCACGGTCTATCATAGCTTTTAAGCCTGGATCTTTCGCACTATCTGTGGTGATTTTCCTTTTTCACAATATGCTAGAGTTACATCTAACTTCTTCATTAGCATTCTTTTCAATTTTTTTTTTTTTTAAAAAATCTTGAACTTTTAGTGTGATAATTTATTTATTTTTAACCATTTTCATAACTATATATATAAATGCCATTACTGTATTATATTATATTATATTCATCATATTAAATTTTAAAAATTATTTATAAGATTAGTTTATTTATTTATTTTTTGTAAAAAAAACGTACACAAAATTTTAAAATGATTATCATGGAACCGACCAGTTCAATTGGGTTTATAAAAAACCGGTCGATCCTAATGGTTCTTTTGAGTTTTTACTTATTGGTATTTTGGAAGACCAAATTGATTAAGTACTCGTTTAGCAACAAGGGTTTTTGGCTTTCTTTAATTATTGTTTTTTTTTTTTATTAGCTTTTGGGATTTTTTCTTTAAAAGTCAATGACAAAAAATGTTTAGTAAAATTCTAAAAATTGTTTTGAAAGTCATTTGCAAGCCAAAAATCAAAAGCTATAAAGTAAAATTTTTAACCTTCGGAGTCTTATCATAAAAGCATTTTTAACAAAACACATTACCAAATGCTTTTTTCACAAGTATAATAGCTATGGCTACAACTACAGCTGCAGTTAAAAGCCACATCTTTCTCAAACGACCCTTAAACGTTTGGTTTGGTTTATTGGTTTTCAGATTGACTTGACCAACAAAGTGGCGAACCTTGATCAATGACGTGTAAGTTTTTTTTTTTTTTTTGGGTGCAATGGATGAGTTTGATGGTGAATTATAAGCCAACTAGCTATGATAGCTATAAAACAAAATTTTCTTTATGGGTAGGGGAACCATACAATGACTAAGTTAGTATTTTGAGAAAGATTATAAATTGAGTATGCTTGCGTGTAGTACCGTAGGAATTTAGAAGATGATGAATAGTTGTCAACTTAAAGATTCAAAACCTAAAATTTTAAGCCCTCAAGTTGTTTATATAGCAAATGACCATGTCAAGTTGTATGAAGGAGTGATAAAATAGTTTATTCTCTTGATGCCATGAGTATTTGTCGTTCACTTAAGAACAAATGTCTTTGATACCGAAAAGATTTATGTTAAAATAATGTAACATTGTCATAATTATCATTGGTCGGATGTGGTTAATCTTAGCTACCTACTCTTATTTGGTAGATGTTTGATTTATCCTTTCTAATTAATGGGATTAGGATTAGTTGTGCCGACCAACTCGTTTAGGATGAGACCATTTAGTATGCCCTCTTAGAGTTGGCTTAACAGGATTGTAGTCTAGTCTATGACTCGAATGGATCTTTTGTTTTTAAATTTTTTATGTGAGTGGGCTCCATTGAGGCCCATCATCAATAATATTATGATAAGTGTCATTAGAGTATATCGGTTACCCTTCTAAGTCTTGATTTATCATAATTGGAGTCTTTGTTGTAGTCATTTATTTCCCATCACTTTGTTATTCATATTATTTTAGAGAGGATCGATCGTCTACGTGGGGCATTTTAGATAATGTGAAACGATTAGGCCTTTTGGATTTATCAATTCCTATAAGAATTTATCTGCATCATTTACTATATGGCATATATGGCCAATTGTGATTGACCATGCTACATTGGACTTGTCGGATAAGTGTAGGCTTTTTGGATGATTTAGGATTAGAGCTCGTGTGTTTGAGCCTATAAATAGCAGGAGAAATTCTTTTTTTTTTTTTCCTATTGTTTTTTTTTATCTCCACTTGTGTTATTTCTCTTCTTCTCTTTGTTTAGATAAGAGCTATTGATACTTGGATAGGGTCCAAGATATTCATATAGGCCTTAAGGTCATGTATAAATGGATCAAGAGGTTTCTTTTTCTATATGGGCTGAAATTCACATTTGTTAGGATAATGTTATTCTTAACCTTATCCTAAAATTATATTATAACATTATCCTTAACATCATCTTATATTAGGATAATTATGCTTTTTAGGATTTGGATGTAATATGGAGTCTAGTAGAGGAAGAGTTCTTTATTTAAATTAGATAAGGATAGAATTAAAGAGTCGTTAAGAAAGATGAGACTAGAGTTTTGTAGTTCATGTTGGTCAAGTTTTTCTTTGGTCTCATTCTTGTCCCTTGTTAGTTGAATTTCACAAGGACAATTAAGTTTTGTGCGGCTAGTCTTAGACTAGTATAAATAAGGATTTAATGCTTATAGAGAATCATATTTTCATGCTTTGAGAATTAATAAAATACTTAAGAAGTTTTTCTATAAACTCTTGAATCCTTTTGCTTAGGGTTTGTTGCCTACATCTTTGACTTGATCAAGAAAAGTGGATTTTTTTTTAATTACAATTTAACCTAATGGTATATTAGAGTTATTGATCTTACTAAAATCATCTAGGATTAAACCCTAACAAGTTGGACATTCTATATAGTTAGGCCTTCACTTGTTAGTTTCAACATATACTTAAAATTGCATTAGAACAAAATTTGGATAGAGTTTCAACTTAGTAAAAGAGGGGTCTAAAGTGATCGGATTAAGCTAAAAGTTAGATAGTAGCTTCATATATCTCTTAACTAGATTTTTGTTTTTCAAAATTTTAGGTCATTTTGATCTAATTTTCTTAGTGAAAACATATTTTTTTTGAGTTGGGTCCGTTGAAGTTTCTACATGTGTTGATTTCGGGACCTACTTCTTAGTTTCGGCTTAAACATCCAAGATTGGAACTTACTTATCATCCATTAATTTCTAGAGGAAAATTATGAATTCTTTTTCCATTAAAAGATTAGAATTTGCTAGCAATATATGAAAGAGTTAGGAGCTTTGTGCTTGTTTAATTCTTTACCAAAACGATATCAACTTGATATCGGAGCTAAGGTTGCTTTCTTGCATGTTATTTAACTAAAATTTTGTGAAAATGCCTCCCAAGAAATAGAAGCTCGGGTATGCTACCAAGGCTGAATTTGAAGAGGAGAATGCACATTTATTTGAAAGAGTGCAAGAATTTAAAAGAGAGAAAGTTGTGGTTGACCAAGAGGAGGAAGACCAAGAGGAGGACGTTACAAGTGTAAATCCTTTTGGAGTTTTGAGATCCAACTCATTTATAGAGGATGGACGTTCTATCAAGTAGCTAGGATATATGGTTAGGAGGCTACAACCATAAAATAAAAACTTTAGAGTCAAGGTCGACATACTTGAACTTGAGAGAAGGCTTAATCTTGGTGATTTTATTGATTAGATGCATGCCATTAAGAGTGTTTTTGAGTTCAAAAGGGTTTCTAAGGGAAAAAAGGTTAAGCTTGTTTCTATCTAGTTTACAAAGAATCCTTTCATATGGTAGGAGAATTTAAAGAGCTAACATCTTAAAAAGGGCAAGTAAAAAATCACTATTTAGGAAAAAGATGAAGAAAGCTCTCAATCACAAGTACCTTTTTGAATTCTATAAATAGGAAATATATCTTAAATTTCATACTTTTAAGAAAGAAGAATTCGGTGTTGAGCCATATAGTATTGAATTTGAACAACTAATGCTTAAGTGTGAAATTTATGAGTTGAAAGAATAAAACATTACTTGATTTTTAGGAGGCCTACAAATCGATATTGCTAATGTGGTTTAATTACTTCAATACTATACTTTAGATGATGTTATCAAGATATCACTAAAGGTTAAGAGACATCATAAGGAACTTAGATGGAGTGGAGGAAGGATCACGACTAGGGAGGCATAATCTAGCCCTATTGCTTTGGTTAGAAGCCGAAGACCAACGCAATAAAAGCCACAACCAAGTAGAGATATTGAAGCTATAGATGACTATAACACTTTGGGTTCAAATACTAATGCTAAAAGGTGTTTCAAATGCCATGACTTTGGACACATTTTGTCTAAGCTGAAGATCAATAAACATGGTAAAAAAG